TGCATATCAAGTGCCGGACTGTGCATTGGTTTTGCCAAACCTACCAGTTTTAAAAGAATGGTTTCCCTAACTTTGAAAGTTTTTGTCCATCTTTTGCCATATTAATCTGCCCAGAGCAACTCATCCTACCTATCTCTGATGCCAAGCTAAAGAAAGGATAAAGTGGCATGAAGTAGCGATACTGTCTGTATTTATTGAAGTATACATTCATTCTGGCTTTTGAAATAATAATCCAATAGAACTGCAAAAAGCCAGTGTTCAGAAAAAAAGTACATTAAGCATTTATGGGCAAGATTATAGGCCTGATTATGGCCTGTCTCTAATTTGTAGTCCTCACAACTCCATGGATAGGAATGGAATTATACAGGAGTGATACTGAAACAATGGGGTGATGGTCGCAGGCCATAAGCAATCTAACTTTGTTTTTTTCTCCTACAAAGCTGGTGTAAGGATGTCTGACTGCCTGAAATTACTCCTGATATTTCTAGGAGAAGGCAAAATCGGATTACACAGAGAATTCAGAATTGGATTTCAAGTTTTAAGCCCATCTCTAATAAATAAAGGACACAGTTTAGGTGCAGCTTCCTCAGAGAGGTGCCTAACGCTTGGCAGTGCCACACAGAAGGGTTTCCGTGGCATACACTTGGTATGACCATATGCGAGTACAGGACCCTTCAAGGTTATTAGTCTGTTATTTTTGCAAAAAGTTTAGCTGCCCCACGAGGCACAGAGTGGCTTCCTAATGCTGAGTCCCCACATATGAAATATTCCATAGCTCCTCAGACTTTAGAAATCAACTGGGGGGGAGTTGCCCAGGAGCTGCCTGGCATCAGTTACAGTACTGAAAAACTTAGAATAGTTACTTTTGTGTCATCTACATAACTATAAAGCAACATCAAATTAAATTTGTTCCAGGACCTGTTACTTGTGGAAGAGGAGTTGTATTTTATTTGCAGTCGTGTTATGTTTCTTTATTAGACTGAACTTTAACAAAAATTATGTACGTATATACTCCTCCCAAAATGCAAATACCATTGGCCAGTCTCTGAGGAAGGAAGAGCATCCTCTATTTACCTGTTCATTTGCTAAAATCCCCCAAACCCCACCTTTCTAGACTCTGCAAATCAATCTGGGACTGAAGCCAAAGTTCACCTACTATATAAGACTGACAGCGCACGGGTGAGCTACTGCTCCTGAACAACTTTAGACCCGACGTCCTGTGCCAGACCCCGCTCAAGATGGGGTTTGGCAGGGGCACATGGCTACGAGAATGGGCTTCCCTGTTAGCACTTTGCTGTATCCATCAGATAGGTAAGAAGTTCTCCTTTTTTTTTTTTTTTTTTAAAAAAAATTGGGAAAAGGCAAAATACTCTATGTAGATCTAGGGATATATTTTAAACAACTGTACTCATTTTAGTGTTTCACTAATGATTGCATTTAAACAAGATTTCTTTATATCATTCTTTTTCCAATTTTCAATAAGTATTTCATATCTTTCTATTAACCCGGACTGATTTAGTTTAATATTGCCTCAAACTACTGCACGTAGCCTTGAAGATCAAATCAAAAACAACCATTACTCATGTCTTAAAAAGACATGTATCTGTATCGCTTATGCCTTACAAAAGCATTTTATTCCTGTTGCATTTTGTATTAGGGTCAGTTATGAACAGTATGGGTTTTCTCAAATTTAAAACACTCCGTCTTCCAGTTGCTAGATCAGACCACTGGTCAATCTTTTCCAGTATCTTCCAGTATCTATCACCTACCAGGATCTAATACCAGATTCCTTAAGAGACTAGAAGAGAATATTCAGTAACTAATTTCAGTAACTAATTGTGCACTAATGATACCATATGCAAAATATTTATATAAATTACCGACACTGAGTGTGAGCTTTATCTGGCACTTGCAATCCATCACTTTGTATGGTTTTTTTTTCTGTCAAAATTATAGCCATCAGGGCTGGTCTTGGCAGTTTTTATTAATATGAGTAGCCCTATTATGTCAGTGGGACCACTCAAATTGAAATTATTTGCATAAGTACAAGATTGTTAAATCAGTCCCATTCATGTACAGACAGCTAACATTTTTAAATCTTCACGTTGCCTATGTAAATTTATCTTTCATATAATTTTCAAAACATTGACAAGTGCAAATATAATTTTAGGCTACTTTATAGTTTGTGAAATAAACATTAGAATATCAGCAAGTTGATTTAAGCACAAAACATAACAGCTACTTAGAGTATAAGCTTATGTTTAGAGTTACACAATGTCAGTCAAAAGCATCTCCAGCCATTCATTGAACAAGAAAGTTATTTGCACTGCGCAATGCTAATCTGATAAACAGCTTTGAAAAAACGAGTCGCGGATAAATGGTGTCCAGCAAACTCCTCTTTATTCAAATTGCACTCTGTCGAAAATATTTTCAGATGTTCTGACTAACTAAAGCATACTGGCCCGATCGCATGCCATCTTCCCAAATATTCTGTGCCTGACTTTATATTTTGGGTCAAATACTAACTTCTATAAATTGATTGTAGCAATAGTTGCATTTATGAATTGGCAGCTGGATACAGATTTAGCAAGGTGCATCCAGAAATAGTCTGAATAATTACAATAGTTCCCAAATTACCAAAGAGTAAATTATCTTGACAATTCATACAAGTGAGAGACACTTATTTTTATATCATGGTCAACAATGTGGCATTGTGCAATTTCTAAATAAACCAGTGCAGCTACAGTTTCCTTGGGAATGATGTATTTGCTAAGTAAATAAGGGCTCCTGCTGTTTCCTTGAGAAAAATTAACAGACCAACATACATGTATATATACTATTTTGCTCTGTTACAAAGGTTCTCATGCTAGAATAAACATAGAGTCTATGATTCTGTGCCTGCTGAGATTCCTAGAGGTGTGTCGCAGGAGAGCAAATTCCGACCTATTATTAAGACTTAAACAGGCATTTGTCACACCCGATCGGTATTGATTACAATTATATGAATGCATTTACCTAGCGATATTATCTGTGATACTGAAATACTAACAAGAAATGGAAAATGATTAAACTATGTCCTAACTTATGTCTTTGCATGTCACCAGTGGTCACACATAAAGTTTAGTGAGAAAAGAATTACAAGTTTAGGTCTGCAGAAACCGCAGCAACTTCTGGATATGGTGAGGCTGCCCAGAACCCTCTCCTCCAAAGCCATCAGTCTCTTGGGGGTGTCTTTGGGAGTGGGGGCTTGAATCCCTTCAGATAGGAACCCTTTAGCTCTCAGCTCGAGTACTCAGTCTGCTTATGTGATGGGTACAGCCAGAAGTTACATCAGAAAAGTAATTAAAAGGTAAAAGAAATTTTTTTTAAAAGTGCTTCTGCTCTGGTTATTTTTAAGGCAAAGGTAGTTGTCCAGCTTTCACAGAGGTATCTGGGCCAAAGTGCTTAAGTGGAGGAAATGCTCGGCAAGGACTGTAAGCACCAAAGAGGACCAGGCTTTATGGCACACTCCTGACTTCAGCATTTCCCCCTAATCCACTTAAGTGTCTCCCTGTTCAGCGAGGTGGTTGTTACAGATCCAGTTCTGTGAACTCTTCTCACCTATTGTATAGGGAAAAAGGGGGTTTAACTTAGGATGAAATTCCATAGGCAGTTCCTCTTTAACTGAGAAATTCCCCAGACACCTCAAGTGCTCATTCACATAATCCTGATCAGGATTCAGATATTTCGTCACCTTAATCCTTTGAGGATTTAGATTTATAGATTCATGTTAGTCAACATGTTCCAAGCACAGTTACCACATGCTGACAGTATTCAGTCCTTCACAAAATAAAGTTGTAGCCATTTTTCTTTTACACAAAATGCCTGCCATATTTATTTATAAAAGACAGGCTTGGAGCACCAACTTAGGAGCCCTGGGTCAGCCTCTTTCTAGGCATCAAAGTGCTCAGGTCAGTATTTGTCATCCTCAGAAGTCTTTACTGGTGCCTCCTCCAGTATGCTATTGCTGGGCCACGCACAGAAAGGAATTAAGAGTCGTGCTAGAGAGAAGGAGAATTCATCTGGAAGACAGTTCGTGTAGTTGACCCAGTAACCATTTAACTGGAGGTACAAAAATAATCTTGAAGAAAGGCACAAGAATAGGACAGTTTGGATGTAGCTGAGTGCCCTCAACATGTGGCTGCATGATCATGACCTAATTTTTCCTCCCTTGTCACTGTCCCACTGCTTTCAGCACCACATTTCAGCTTGAGTAGCAAGAACCCTTGGTCAGGTAGACTTACCGTATGATGCTTAAGTGAGTTCGAGGTGAGTTTGAACCATCTCAGAGTGAGAAAAGGTGTAAAACAGGAAACCTGGTTCATCTGGTTCCTTCTCCTGGGTTGCTGTGCAGGCTGTGAGCCCTCGTTTCATCACTCAGAGGGGCCTTGCATCCAGCTGAAAAGCAAATCGAGATCGCTGGTTGAGACTTTAGATCTGCTGCAGAAGAGAAGTCCCTTTGCTTAGGCACTAAAGAAACTACCATATAAATATCTGCAGCCATTACTGGATCGAGCCCTAAGTCCTTTTTCTTTTAACCAGTTCTGTGCCTTTTCTTATTGTTACCTAGGTACTACACAGTAATTTTAATTAATGGCTTTCTTACATTTTGTGAATTTTTCCTGTAACTTTTACGTATTAGTGAAATTTAGTGCAGCAGTAAATAAGGGATCCAGTCTTTAAAATCCCTTGTAGTCAGTTTTAAGGGAAATGAAGAAAGCAGATATACATGAAATGTTATCTGGATTTCAGGCTCTGTGTACTTGTAACAGAAAGTCTCTTTCTATGATTACATTTTACCCTTTGGGGGGGCCGTTTCATTTTTTCTGATGTGATAAAGGACTCTCCCCTTTGTCTTACAGAGATGTATCTGGATCCCTTGATCCTATCTAAATGCTTTGTTTTAAAAGTTCAGATACAGGATGTTGTACTTAATATGCTTTTTTGTAATTTCTTTGCAGGAGCACAGACTGAAATCCCAGAGGAGGCAGGAAGCAAATACACTGAGGTTTATCGGCAGACACACAACAGTACGTTTGTTTATACTGTGTATTTGGTTTTGTATTTATTTGCTGCTCTCTACTAAATATTAAAAATGCCTTAAAAAACTCCTTAGCATGTTGCCAGTAATGTCAAATAAAGATAAATGTGTATTAGCAAGCCTCTCCCTTTATAAGATTGGTCATATCTTTATTAGATACCAATTACTAAACACACACTGTACGGTTGTATTTGTATGATAATAGGTAACTAAGAAAACAGATACATGTTTGTAGAAGCTTTATGCCTACATGCTTGAATATGTATATATAAAAACTAATTGGAATATACCAGCAGGATGTTTTGTTTCTTGTAAACAAGAGAATGAGACCACTTTGGCAAGCTATAGAGTCAGCAGCTGACATTGGGAAATCGAGATGGCAAGCCAATTTTATTGGGTTTTACTTTGTAATGATTTGTGATCGTCTTCTACAACAGATTTGTGGTCATTTCTAAAGGTTTTCAGTCACTTAACAAATATTAAACAGAGAGGAGAGGGGATAATTAAAGTTTTTATTTCCTCTTTAGAAAGAGGAGGTGTGATGAGAAGGCAGCTATGGTTTTGTACCGGTAACAGGCTAATTTAATACAGCTTAATCCTTTGTATCATTCTGTGTGTCAAAAGCACTCCAATATGCAGATCTGTGAATTTCCGCCTCTCCTAACACAATACAGTTTCATAACAGGGTCAAAATTAAAAGATAGAAAATGCAGACCATCACAGCTGAAAGCAATTTTTTGTGATTTAACTATTGTGATTTTGAATTTTAGTATGCACCTTTACCCTCATCCCTGCCCTGTGTAAAACACAGCGTCATTTCATGGGATCTCAGATTTTAACTTTCTAGTCCTTTCTAGGTCAAGTTTAGGTGCACATTTTGGTATTGATATACTAGGTTGTTTCCTTTCTTACTTTTTTTCTAGGTTCTGCTGTAGTTTCATCTAAGGTGAACATCATCCCACCAATGCTGGCAAATCCAGTAGTAACACGTAAGTAAAGGAAATGAGATGTATTCAGTAAGTTTTCAGTTTTAAGGGATGTAGAAAGAGGAATCTAATACAGATAGGGAAAGGTGCTGGTAAAGGAAGTAGTACATTATTAACAGGAGAAAGAGGGTAATTAAAAAGCGTAATACTGTGATCCTAGCTGAAATGTGGACAACTACCAAAGATCTATCTGAACATAACTATAACCATTTATAGGGGTACGTAAGATGAGTAACAGGTATGAGTGAAGAATGAACACGCAGTTTTATAGTGGACAGAGGGACAGAAAATAACAAATAGGGGTAGGCAGGTGATAATATTCAACAATAAAACGAAGCCTTGGACAAGTTGATTTTGTTAAGGCTGGGAATTTTGAAGTCCTTTTTTTACAACTAGTTTTAATTCACAGCTTCCAATCCTGCTCACAATGGCCGTGTGTGCAGCACATGGGGCAACTTCCACTTCAAGACCTTTGATGGAGACATATTCTTCTTCCCTGGGCTCTGTAATTATGTTTTTGCATCCCACTGCAACGCTCCCTATGAAGATTTCAACATCCAGATTAGGCGCACAGTGGTGGAAAATGCTCCAACAATCAACCGTATCACCATGAAACTTGAAGGTGTAGCTGCTGAACTAAAAAAGGACGTTGTCACGATCAACGGCAACAGGTAATTTTATTCTTAACACTTGTTTGGTAACCGCAGATGTTTTTTTGAAACTTGACAATTACTTTGGTGTATTTGGGGGGGAAAATTATGTGTTCTGCCATAAATCTGACAGTTTTACCAACATAAATTATAAGATGCTATTCATTAACATTAAATCAATTCTTCCCTTAAAGGTTACCCTAAAAATAAAATTTGGATGAAAAATCCTGAGAGGTTGGATCCACATTCAGATTCATGTTTGATGATGTTGGCCATCTTATTTTTTAATCACTTTTCTTTCCACACAACTGGATTATTTTAGAATCCCTACAGATGCTGGATACTGCAAGCCATTTTTTTTAAATCAAATATCTGGATCAGAAAATACTTAGCCTTCTTTCTGCCTTTTCCCAGAGTTCAGCTGCCATACAGCCAATCAGGAATTACAATAGAGAAAAGCAGCATTTATGTGAAAGTTGCCTGCAAAATGGGTGTTGTGTTAATGTGGAATGAGGACGACAGTATCCTGGTAAGAACTGCTCTCTGCTCAGAGACCAGAGTTAATCTTTGATTTGGACAGTCTCTATCTGTTTTCTACAGGGGTTACTATTGCCTTCTCATCTCATAGTGTTGAGCAATTCTTTCTTACTAAAGATGGGTTTGAATCCAGGTAATCTTAATGAAAATTACACGGATTGATGTCTAGTGGATAGCAGACCTGCTTAAAATAGGGTGAAAAAATCATTTTGATTACATCATTAAAATATTGGTATTGTTATAAGGCCCACTTACCTCCTCAGATATAATTTTCTAGAAGAATTTCGCTCTCTTACGACTTCATTTTTGCTGTCGATTTGATTTTCTTTCTGAAGAGTGAATAGAGAGAAAAAGCTGAGAGAAATATAGATGTTACAGTGAAAAGTTATGTCTGCATCGATAGCTTGGACTCTGCGTTGTGAATCGAATTCAAGCCTACTCTTGACTCTATCCCCCCCAGTTTGAATTAGATTGCTAAATAAAATCACACAGATCTGACAAAAATTACTTACAAGCAGCAGGTGCTTTCAGTGGTCTGGAATGTATTTTAGAATGTTTATAATAGCTTCTCTCAATTTACTGTCCATCATTTTAGCTGGAATTGAATGAGAAATATGCCAATCAGACCTGTGGACTTTGTGGGGACTTCAACGGCTTGCCAATTTACAATGAGTTCTATTCAAACAGTAAGTTTCTTAAATAATAAAAATCGGTTTCTGGAGTCTCCAACATCCTTTTTTAGTATTTAATCTAACATCAGCAGCATTCCTCTTTCCTGTTGTGTTAAATGATTTACCCAGAAGATATGATTCAATTTCTGTTAAAAAATATTTAGTACAGAAATCAGATAATATGATTTAATACTACAACTATAAATATAGTACTGGTGCTAACAACTGATTGTGTATTTCTTGTATTCCAAAGTTTTAAAGACCTAATCAGGTAATCCCATAAACATGAGCCAGATTTTCACAAAAACATAAATATAGAAATATATTCAGTAAAACAAAAGGCAATTGTATCATCTAGTCAGTACCTTTATTGTGTCAATTCTGTCTTAAAATTGGTCTATCCACATTTGCCTGCTGAGTTGTATAATCTTTATAAAAGCTTATCTTTATCATTCTGTCTGTTGCCAGCTTGAACTTTTTTCTAAATCTTGTCTCACAGCAGTCTCCACTGTCCAAATCCCTGTTTAGATTCTTTTCTCTCCTCCCTGCCTGGACTCAATATAATCTGAAAAATGTTTGGTTTTTTCCTGGTAAAAATCTTAGTTTGCATCTAGATGTAATATGCTGACAATTGTTTTTTAATGTTTACTTTTTCCAGCGTGCTGTGCAAGGTAAATTGAGACAGTGATGTAGTGCTTCCTTTGAAAGGGGGGATGATCAAAGTTAAAGGTTTGAGGGAACTCGCTGCCTTGGCCAGTCTTGACCAGAATTCTTGAGAGGAGAAAAAGGTAACAAGCAGTCGCACTGAACAAAACCCCTCAATGTTCATTATGAACTTCTCTTGTACAGATATGAAGATGACAGCCGTGCAGTTTGGAAATATGCAGAAAATGGATGGGCCAACAGAACACTGCGAAGACTCCGTGTCTACCCTGCCAGATAATTGCACCATCAATGTAAGGATCTTTTGACTATTCTTTAATAGTTCTTTCAAATTTATCTGTCTCCTTCTACAGCCTCAGGAAAAGCCTTAAGGTGACAGCAACTTAAAGAGGGATATAAGATTCTATTAAAGAACAATTATGCGAAGTAATAATACCAAAAAATGGCTCCTTCCTCTTTTCTGGAAGTTGTTTAACTGGTTTTTTTTTCTCCCAAGGATGACATATGCCAGCAAACACTGACCAGCACTGCGTTTGTAGAGTGTAATGACCTAGTTGATGTTAGAGAGTACATTAAGGCTTGCCAAGATGACCTGTGCCGCTCTGAAGAGTCTAAAAACGCCTCATGTATCTGTGACACCCTTTCTGAATACTCCCGGCAGTGTGCTCATGCTGGTGGGCATCCTCTGAACTGGAGAACCTCAAAACTGTGCCGTAAGTATCGCCTGAGGGAGCCTTACGTTATGCTCAGTAACTAACAAACAACAAGCTCTCAAGTGCTGCTGAGGATGCATAAGAAATTACAGGCCTTTCAAGATTTATTCTCCAGAGGGCTCTGATGTACGAGTTCCAGCAAGAAACCTTCAGCAAAAGAGCTAAGGGGTTTAATGCAAACTGGATTAAACACTATCAAACACTTACATGGATCCTCTAATTGAGAGTCAAAGTGTTATTTAATTAACTGGAACAGTAAAGGAAGCACATAAAGGACAAAGAAGGAGATGTACTTACTTGCTTGTATTTCTGTTTCTCTCCTTTTCTCGTGGCGGCTACAGCATTTTTTTATTCTTGATTATTAACTGATTGAGTGTTCAGGGGTGTTGGGCTGATCAAACACTTCTTTATCTCCTCTTGCTCTTTAGTGGGGAGCTTACACCACTGTAATCTTCGTAGACATTTGCACTGAATTAAACACATATGAGGTTATGGAATGTAGCTGTTGATACTGTCACCAGCATTTGTTCCAAAACAAAAGCCCATGAGGTACTATTTGCCTTTCCAATGATATCTTAAAAATGCAAATATAGTAAAGCTGTAGGAATTTAAGTCTTACATAGCAATACAGGTGTTCATGAGAAGGGTGCCTTCAGTAGAAACCTTGCTGGCTTTGAGGGGTCATTACCTTGCTGTCCCCAGAAATCCAGTCATTGAGTCAGTTCAGCAAAAGACAGTCATGGAAAACATATCTCACCTGTGAAATATGGGTCTAGGTGACTAAATTTGCAAATTTTGAGAGTTGGCGGTTCATCTGCAGTTTAGTGTGGCATTACATCTAGCTGAAAAACTTAAATGAATATAAATATTTTCATATGCAGTGAACTACAAATACTTTTGACTGAAAAAAAAAATCTCTCCTTCTTTAAAATTTCAGCCAAGAAGTGTCCTTACAACATGGAGTACCAGGAGTGCAACTCCCCCTGCGCTGACACGTGCACCAATCCCGGACGATCTCAGTTTTGTGAAGAACACTGCATGGATGGTTGCTTCTGTCCCCCAGGCAAGTTCTTGTGTACTCACATCTCTGATCTCAACGAACAGCAGCAGCTTTCCTCTAGGATTTGGGCAGGTTCCATGGGGTTTAAGCCTCCTGTATTTGCATTCTTCACAGCTGCAAGTGACAAGCAGTTGGCATGTTTTAGCTGAGAAAAGATATCGGAATTAATTGCCGCTACATGTGCAATATTCAGAAAGCAGGAGAGCAGAACAGCAAACAGATCGAGACCAGTTTCTCAACAAGTCACCTGTGCTACAACAAGTCCCTCTTTCAAAGCAGGTGGAATTTAAGAATACAAAGGTTGAATCCTTCACTGGGCAAGTTGGCATAGTCCTCCTGTCCTCAGCATATGCATGGCCATTCGTGACAGCCGCAGATCTGTCTCCGAGACAACATTTAGGATTTGTAGGAAGCACAAATGGTATGTAGGAAATTCCTCTTTAATTGACCCAGGTTTTGTAATTATTTTTTGATATAGGGACTGTATTTGATGACATCAACAATTCTGGCTGCATTCCCCAGCAGCAGTGCTCCTGTGTTTACAATGGCAACACCTACGCTACAGGAACTTCTTTTTCAGAGCAGTGCCAATCCTGGTAATCTTCTTTGTTACTTCTCTGACTTACTACTTCCTCTCATATATTTAATGAGTTTAATGGTTTATTATATGCAGTTGCATCACTGGTAATTGATCTGTGTATTTAACTGACCGCTACAGTTTCAAAATACCCCTAAAGAACATTCTTTGTTTTATTTAGCAACAGCCTTAGCTAGCAAGGTGATCAAAGCAAGGATTTACGATGTTTAGATTTCTCACCAGTTGCTTAAAGGCTTGCTCTCTGTTTATTTTGTTCAAACATTTGGACTTCTCCAAGGGGAATAAAATTACAGTCATTTATGTATTTGCAAATATTTATTTTCTCTGGAGAAACCAAGGGATGACACAATACAACCTCAATTTCACAATTATTAATCCTGTACCTGTGCACTACAACATCACCTTAGAAAACAGATATGCTCTGCTTCAGAAGTAGACGAGAATTCTCCTTTTCTGTTAGCTTCTGATACATCTGTGTAACAAAACAGAAGAGATTTTGTCACTGGGCTTTATATTAGCTGCAAAACCCAAGCAATTACTCATCCAATACCTGTTGCTGGAGAGTTCAAGGAAGGAAAACAATTAAACAAGCAACGTGAATGCATACCAGAGTCATTCCTTTTAACTATCGTTTCACAATGTTTTGGGAAGTCTTAAACCTAGATTGACTGTCTGTCAAACTATAGCTTGAAGGGTAAAACAGCAGCAAAATAGCTGAACCTACCTTTATGGTAAAACCTTTTTCTCTGAACTGCTCTCACTGATTTCAGCTAACTTTATTCTCTCTCTTGCAGTACCTGCAGTGGAGGCCAGTGGAGTTGCCAAGACATGTCATGCCCAGGAACGTGTTCAGTAGAGGGAGGTTCACACATTTCCACGTACGATAAAAAACATTACGATCACCACGGAGACTGCACTTACGTCCTTTCTAAGGTGCGGATCAGGTATTACTAGGTCATAACGCCTTATACACTTCTAGAAAGAAGATCTATTTATAGAAGATCGTTTATAGAAAGATCTCAATCAACACTTTTGACACTTACCTCTCTTGACATACAGATGATAAATTGCCTCTCACTTAGCCAAGTGTTTACTAGAACATACACTGCCATTCAAATAGCAATCCCCAGTCGTGCACCAGTACCTGGTGTTTACTGGGGAGTTTCCAGTTCTGTGATACAGTCATTGCTGAAGAGCATTGCCTTTTTTAAAGTATAACTGAGTCTGTGTTCTTCAGTGTGATTAATCCAGCTTTCTTACCGAGTTGCATGACTTTTGCTGTGCTGTTGTATTGTATGGTACTGGGCCTAATGGTACAAGTCTGAAAAATCACATTAACAGTTCCAAAAATAAAGATGATTTGAATTGATAAGACTAATATTTTTCTTTCATTTCTGGGAAATTCAAATACAGAAAAATCAATTCAAGTCAACTGATACATCTTGCTTATGTTTTGAACTTTTTAAAAAAAGATTTAAAAATTAAAGAAATGGAAAAAAGTTAATTATAATCAAAATATTTAATTACAGCAATGCACAAGTAAAATGTTTTGATCTTTTAGGGCCTTTTTCTCTTTGATCTTTGCTTTCTTTTTCCCCCATCTGCACAATTAACTAAAAAAAAAAAAAAGCAAGTTGTATGTTAGTGTTCGTGTGACAGATTTTTTTTTTTGCCTAGCATTAATACCAGCTACAGAAAGATGAGAGATACAGCAAAATTGAATCAGACATTAGAAGTAGGCATGACTAAAACCTCCAAATACATATATCATCAATAAAACATAAAACCAGATTCCAATTCTCTTCTTGTTCCTAATCATTACAGAAGGCAAAACCGAATCTTAGGCCAAAGAAGGCCTGGGATTTGGGAGAGTCTGGATCTTCTCCAGAAACAGACATATTTTTTTCAGAGCCAAGAGAAAATTTTACAGGATAAGCTTCTGTAATTAGCCTTTCATAAAATAACTGTTGGCATTTTGTTTTTTCAGCACTGTGCAGATGAAACATTCACCGTCCTGGCAGAACTACGCAAATGTGGCGTAACAGACACCGAGACATGCCTCAAGGCAGTGACCCTCAACATGAATAGAGGACAAACTGTAAGAATGCAAAATAAGCATGGGAAATTACTTTTAAAAATATGGGGAGAGAAAAAGTTAAGCCTTAATCAGTCAGCGACCTGCAGTTCTCTCAAATGTTCAGACTATGCAATAAGTACTTGTTATTTTTAATCAAGTGAAACTAAATTAGTTTTGTTATGAAAATAAGGTCAGCCATAAATTTGGCTTTGTGGAAGTTCATTAAGAAAAACATTGTATTCACAAAATAGAAAAAGGCGGTTTTCTCTGCCAACTAGAGGGAAAAAACATGAGCTTTTAGGTTAGAAACTACAAAAGTAAAAGATGTAATTAATCACCAAGACATGTTCAAAGAAATCAAGATGATGTAATTCCCTAAAGAGCTGAGAAAGTTTCTTTAAAAATAATTCTTTTTATGGCAGGGAAAATTAGTAAAGTTTACTAAGTGGAAAGAGGGAGGAGGCAGAATCACAAAAAACTACCCTTGTTATCTAATGTATTTTCAATTAATATCACTGAAATCATCACCGTTATTCCTCTTTGGACTATAGTTATCCTTCACACACTTACCTCTTGTTCCTTGTCCTTATCAGCTCATCGAGGTCAAATCTGATGGTGGCGTGTTTGTGAACTCGATCTACACCCAGCTGCCTGTCTCAGCAGGTATTTTTTTCTCTAACAGTCCATATGCAATAGTCTCAGAACTTCAACACCACGCCTGCTTATTTTCTTTAACCATGGAAGATAAAAGCACTGTGAGTTGTTCAGAATCTGCTTGTTCACTTTGGGATATTTCTTGAGTCACACAAGTGCTTTTGAAGTAGAAGTGGGAAGTTTGGTGTCGTAAAGAACTGGGAGACAGTACAAGCGCAGGCAAGAGTTCAAACAGAAGGAAACAGCATTTGCACTCTCCAGATTTGATTGTAAGGTTTACTTCCTTCTCACTGCCCAAAGTTAACATGGAAGATATCTGTCATTTACCTATTTTACTTCTTTTTTCTTTTTCAACTCACCCTGCCCTGTGGCCACTTTTCCTCAGACAGAAATCTGATATCAGTAACTATGCTCTGTGATATCTCTGACTTTCAGATCTGCTTCTTTTCACTTGCCAGCAGAGTGAGGGCTCCAATGTGTCCTGTACAAGCTTAGAAACAAAACCAGAAGTAGTCTTTTTAATGTTCAGCACCATACAGTTTTTCCTTCTCATTCTCTTGGAAGGTGTAACCTCCAACTGCTTAATGTTGAGACAGCAAATAAAGTTAACAGCTTGCTAGGTACAAGCAAATTCTGCCCTGTGAATTTGGAATTATAGTTCTGATTCATTTTTATAAAGATCAGCTTTATTTCACCTCAGACTTTGCAACAATTGTGATGGAAATTCAAGAAGAAGAGTATAATGGTGCACTATTTCCAGCCTTTGACCTCATTCAAAAAGTGATCATTCTGTTTTTCATCTGCAGCTAATGCCACCATATTCACACCTTCCACGTTCTTCATCATGGTGCACACAAACTTTGGCCTCCAACTTGAAATCCAAATCACACCCATCATGCAAGTGTTTGTGCGACTGGATCCTCTTTTCAAAGACCAGATGTGTGGTAAGTGAATGAAATACAAGAACATCTTGCTTAATGTCTTTTGTCTAGTACAAGCAGTATAAGCGTTCCGTTGCTTTTCGACAGGTCTCTGTGGAAATTTCAATGGTATCCAAACTGACGACTTCAAGGTCATAAGTGGAATAATTGAAGGAACAGCAACAGCATTTGCTAATACGTGGAAAACTCAGGCTTCGTGCCCTAATATCCAGCGCAGTTTTGAGAACCCCTGTGCACTCAGCGTTGATAATGGTGCGTGTTTAGAATTTTTCCAGGGATTCTTTTTTTTAACTCACCCCTAAAGAAAACACGTCTTTGGAAAACAAATATAAAAGAATTGAGATTTAGGTACTTGGTGAAAACATACATCTGAAATCAGAAACCAATATTCAGAATGAAACCACTAAGGATTAGTAACAAAGGAAGAGTCATAGAAACAACTGAAGGAAACGGTGTGGTCATTGAAAGCAGAGAGGATGCCTAAGCTGACAGCTTGGTCTCAGAGGAGTGGATTTCAGGAGTATCTTTGGAAATCTTTTATTCATTGTCTTTGGCAAGTCTTCTTCTTTGATTTTAGGAATATTAGCCTAAAAGCTGAGTGAAAAGAAAGACAGGAGAAGGAGAGGCCTGATGTAATTTCAGAATTAACTTTATGGACCAGAGCAGTGTGCTTTTGTGACTAATGAAATACAAAGAATAATGTGTATTTGTATTGTTTGTTCTCCTCACAGAAAAATACGCTCAGCATTGGTGTGGGCTACTGACTGACAGCAACGGACCTTTTGCTGATTGTCACTACGCAGTGAATCCCTCTGTTCACTACACGGTACTTTGTTAGACTGTTTCCCCCTTTAGAAATAAGAGAAATAGGATCAGTACAACTAGCTACCATGTCTCATCTTAGGCAATGACTGTATTTTATTTGCTGTACTGCAGCATTTCCTTCTTTCAACCTGTGTTTCTGTTTGTAACATTACCTTATTACCTTATTTCAGTTGTCAGTCTTGGCTTCAAGATCTTGACTTGCCTGCAAACGAAAAGGCAGCTATTTACTGCTGGATGGATGAACACAGAGCAGGAAGTGCATGTAAAGCAATATAATCGGTGCTGAGATTTTTCTTTTTCTCTGTATTCTTAGAACTGCATGTTTGACACATGTAACTGTGAAAATAGCGAGGACTGTCTGTGTGCAGCTCTGTCTTCCTATGTGAGAGCTTGTGCTGCAAAAGGAATCCTGCTGCGCGGATGGAGGACTGACGTCTGCAGTAAGTACTCTTAGCTAGCCCTCCTCCTGAGAACACGCATCAGTACAAGCTGCTGATCAGAGATTTTATGCTGATTTCTAGACAAATATAGTAAGTGTTGAGGAAGGGATTTTTTAAAGTGCCCTCATGGAAGTATTTCTCAGCTGTTCCCTTAGAATCATTCAATTGCTAGTGAACACAAATCGATGGGAAACATAGCTTGCTTAGGAAAGACACTGCTGTTATGAAACTGCCTCCATCTGTTTCTGCGCAACTTTGGATTTCACTGCAGCTTTATGTATCACAAATTATTCTAGAGAAAACGGGACGTATTAGAAAAACAGTACTAGTAATACTAACCAGAAGCCTTGCAAATGAAGAGTCTGGGAAGCTGTGTGCTGGGTTCCACTGATCCAGTAAGTCTGGTTTTGGCACACCAAGAGACGTTCAGGGAGACGTCTTGTTTCATACTTCTTGGCAGTGAATGGCAGCACCAAATAGAGGATTCTTTCCAAAATTTCATTTGAAAAAACATTTTCTTCTTTGCATGCACCACTTGCTCCACATGTGCAGTAGCTTTTCAGGTCTAACTCTGGAAGCATTCAGAAATATATTTACAGGAAAGATGCAGCATAGGCAGAGGTGTACAGTATTGTTTACATGTTATTTCTAATGCCTGTGGTTTCTTTTTTCCCCGACCAGAAATAACAATCTGGAATTAACAAACCTATTCTATTTTCCTTTCTCAAGCAAAATACACCACCTCATGTCCCAAATCCCTAAGCTACAGCTACACCATCTCTTCCTGTCAACCCACTTGTCGGTCTCTGAGTGAGCCCGACGTCACATGCAACATCAAGTTTGTCCCTGTGGATGGCTGCACCTGCACAAATGGAACCTACATGGATGAGAGTGGCAAATGCGTGCCTGCTAATGAATGTCCCTGCTACTTCAGAGGATCTCCTGTACCATTTGGAGAAGCTGTCCGTGAAAATGGGCTTGTATGGTAAGTGAATCTTTTGCAAAACACACGAGCAATAGGATGTGTATTTTCTCATTAAACTCTCCTACATTTAAACTGGTCTCACCCTGCCCTGCCTGAATTTCAACACAATACTCTCTTAATTTTTTTCAACCTTCTTTTCAACTTTTAAGAATGGTAGATATTCCTCTGAGCTGGAAGACAGGGAGAGGGAGTAGCGTGAATCCCCTACATCTCATGGTCAGTGACCTGCTGCACCACTTAGACACACATAAGTCTCTGGGGCCACATGGGATCCACCCAAGGGCACTGAGGGAACTAGAGGGGGTGCTCACAAACCACTGTCCCTCATTTACCAGCAGCCCTGGGCTGACCAGGGACGTCCCAGGGGACTAAAGGTTAGCAAACGTGACACCCATCTACAAGAAGGATCAGGAGGACCCGGGGAACTACAGGCCTGTCAGCCTGACCTCGGTGCAGGGGAAGGTGATGGAGCAGATGATCAGGAGGGCCATCACACGGCACGTACAGGACAACCAGGAGATGAGGCCCAGCCAGCCTGGGCTTATGAAAGACGGGTCTTGCCTGACTAACCTGATCTTCTATGATCAGGTGACCTGCTGAGTAGATGAGGGAAAAGGCTGTGGATGTTGTCTTCCTGGACTTCTGTAAAAAGTGGTATGGAGAGAAATTCTTTCCTGAGACTGCAAAACAGCTTTCTGCATTTCCTTCAAAAAATCTGAAACTTAAAAAGAGAAAAGTAGTGTTCAGTCTCAATACATGGTTTGACAGGTAAATATATGTTTTTCCCTCTCTTGTAGCACTTGCATCCAGGGAAAACTGAACTGCATTGGAACACCCAATCCAACTCCAGGTAAAAAAAAAATTAAAAATCTTCCATTTAGTTTTTTCTCTGTGCCAGATTTTGAACAAAAATAGTTGATAGAATTCTCCAGATGGATTTTTAAATAATAGAAATATTTCTCTTTAGTTTTAGTGCAACAGTTTTCATAAAAGGCAGAAGTGATTAATAAGATTAATAAAACCTCTTTCTCATAAAGATTTTTTTTTCTAAGACACTATGGGCTTTTATTTCTGAGAATTTAGTGCTCTGAAGTGAATCTGTTGAGCAGATTGAATAGGGACAGCAATCTCTACTAATTGAAATACACAATTTCCAAGTAATTTCAAGGTGGTTTTAATGGCTACAGCTGTAGGATAACCCCTGTGCCATTTCTTAGGGCTCTCACTTATTTCCTTCCTCTAGTCTGTGAATCTCCCATGGTCCACTTCGATTGTAAAAACATCACGGCAGGAACAACAGGAGCAGAGTGTCAGAAAAGTTGCCAGACTCTGGATATGCAATGCGTAAGTATGTCACGGCTGGATGGAACCGTGCTTCCAGGTTTTGTCTTTGCTCTTGGTGCTAGAGCAGTTGATCTGTCTGATCTGCTCCAAATCCATAACACAGGTAATTTGTTCTTGTAGCAAGAGCCTGAGACTATGTTACAAGGCATTAACAGTGGGATCCTTAGACTAAAATGTAATAAAGTAACATCCAATTTAATTCTTAAGATTAGTGTCTACCTTTCTTCAGCTACTGCAGTTCACAGTAATTAGTAGTGAATATCTAGGGTGCTGCCACACATTTTACTTCTCTAGGAGAAAACTGCTGGCTATAAACTGGCTCGGAGAAATGATTCTTTCTCATACCATGACGCAGTTGAGAACTTCCTGCACATCTGTTTCTGTTACTCCACCTAGGTGCATGGTAGCCACGTGCCATTTCACAAATAAGTACCCTATGAGATAAACAGATTTCAATGTAATTCAACCAAACTTACTATCTTTTTAAAGCTCCATTCAGTCGCAAATCACTCACTACAAAGTGCAAGGCTTCTTTAGCTAACACAGAGCAAGGCTTAAGATTCAACATATTTCACAGGCTCCAGCAGAGCTATCAGGATTGCATACATAAAACAGATTTATATTCTAGGAAATCAATGACTAATAACTTCCTTTTTGTTCCATTGTCCTGTAAGTACTTTGTAATCCTCTCCCATTTGAGCTGGGCAGCAGTAAGATCATATAAAGACATTTTGAGAGAATTTAATGTTCCTTTTTCTATTGTGACTTCATTCTTAAATGCTATCTCTCTCTTGACTTTTCCAGTATAGCACGCAATGTGTGTCTGGCTGCGTGTGTCCAGCTGGGCTTGTGCTAGACGGGAATGGAGGTTGTATTCCTGAAGAGGAATGTCCGTGTATTCACAATGAAGCCATGTATCAGCCTGGGAAAAAGATCAATGTTGACTGCAACACTTGGTAAATACTTCCTCAGAAGTACCATTCCTGGGTCTATCATTTACCTTTCCAAAGATCTTAAATAGTACAGGAGGGAGGAAAATTTGGATCGCACATTTCATCAATCGACGGATCTTTTAGTTTTGGATTAAACAGTATGAGCAGGTTTCTTCTGGTGCAGGCAGATGGCCAAAGCGCAGAATGGGAGGAAATATTTGGGACTACAGTGTTCCTTAAGGGTGACCCCGTGTTGCAGTTAACACATTCAGAGTAGCAGAGCAGAACTTTGCTTTAGCTCTTTACATGAAAAATGTAAAAGACTATTTTAACTCCAGAATCAATGTAACATTTACCAGAGATGAGTTACCAAACAAATATTAAGTTGTTGGGATATGTCTATGCAAAGCAGTGTGTTGTTTTATTACTCAGCTGGTTTTTTCTCATTTTTGAAGTGTATGCAAGAATAGGAAATGGGAATGCACAGAAGATCAGTGTCTGGGCACTTGTGCTGTTTATGGAGATGGTCATTATAGTACCTTTGATGACAAAAGGTTCAGCTTCAATGGAAACTGTGAATACACACTAGTCCAGGTACAAATAATTAGCAATAGTAAATGAGAAATAACCTTGATCATGTCTACAAAAATAATACATTTTTAAATGTTACTTAAATGCTATTCTCTACCCAGGATCACTGTGGCGTGGCCAATGGGACCTTCAGGGTTGTCACTGAAAACATCCCCTGTGGCAATACTGGGACGACTTGCTCAAAATCTATCAAAGTTTTCTTAGAGGTAAGAACGTTTTGCATAAAAGCCAGTTCTGTTCTGTATCTGTTTAGAGCTTAGGAGAAGCCTAGATATCCATTGCTTCAAAAAAGTTGGAAAAATATTTTTTAAAGCCAATCACCTTGTAAATTCAGCTTAAATCAGATTCAACTGAAATATTTGGTAGAGCTTCCCACCTTTCTATCTTTTCTGCATCTTACCCTACCTTGTACCACTCTTGGGCAATCTACAGAAAAATTGCCTTTAGCAAAAATTCAGCCTAGCACATGGGAAAATTATTTTATTCTTTGCAATGTAGTTCCTCCATGGCTGACAAAACACCTTTTTTTTGACCTACGCCATTTAAAATACCTTTTAACCACAACTCCAGGAACCTGAGACTTGAACTATATAGGTTGATTTATCACATTCAAATTATTTGCTTCCATTATATAAACTATGCGTAGTACGCTTGCAAGCAGAAAGACACGTTTAAGAGCACAGCTGCAGCTGCTGAGTTCATTTCTGATCACCTTTTCCTCCCGTTGCAGGGCTATGAACTGATACTCAGTGAGGAGCATATCAGTGTCGTAAAGAGAGGACAAAGTGATGAGGTGCCATACGCAGTCCGCTCCATGGGCATGTACGTGGTAATCGAGACCCCAAGTGGACTGATCCTCATGTGGGACAAGAAAACCAGCATCTTCATCAAGCTCAGCCCTGATTTTAAGGTGTGGGACTCGTAGTTAAAGGGCCATTTTCAGTCCAGTTTTGGACTGGGTGTGAAATTTGCAGAGACCACCAAATGGGTGGTGATGCCTCTAGTGTTGCTGGAGGCCACCTTGTGTTGTTCCTCATTCCTCAGGAATGAGAAGTGGTTCTCGCTTCCTCTCAGGAAGCTGTGTCATCATCCTGCTGCTGTTCTGAGCTCTGAAGGCAGCTTTCAGCGCCTGCTTGGCCTTACAGGACTTGAGCAGGCAAACGGCTTTTTTGGATTTGGCTTTGTTAAAATTACCCACTGAACCTTGGTAAAGCTTATCAGACCTTATTAAAATTACATAGCTTCCTGTGTGGAAATAATTGAGTAGTCCTGATCTTGAAAATAATGACATTTAAGGTCCCTTCCAACCCAAACCATTCTGTCATCCTGTTTCATAGAATCCTATAATGTGTTAGGTTGGAAGAGACCTTAGAGACCATCTAATCCAACCCCCTGCCTTGGGCAGGGACGCCTCTCAACTAGCCCAGGTTACTCAAACCTGGCCTTGAACATCTCCAGGGAGGGGACAGCCACAACCTCTCTGGGCAATTTATTCCAAAGTCTTGCCAGGCTCAAACTGAAGAATTTCTTCCCAAGATCCAATCTAAACCCATTCTCCTTCAATTCAAATCCATTTCCCCTTGTCCTGTCAGTGGACACTCTTGTAAAACGTCCCTCCTCAGCCTTCCTGTAGGTTCCCTTCAGGCATTGGAAGGCAGTGATAAGCTGCCCCTGGAATCTTCTTTTCCAGGCTGAACAATCCAAGCTCCCTCAGCCTGTACAGTTCTCATTGACCCACAAATTAAATTATCATAGTTTAACAGCAAAGAAGAGAAATATTATGAGTGAAAGCCTCTTGTAAAATCCTACTATGTGTTTTTCAAGGGTATGTATACAGAGGTGATAAGGAAAATGTACTCCTCACACCACAGTGACCTTTCAGTTAGGTACATATACTCTGGATGTATTTTTGTGAGCAGTCACAACAGTAAAGACTCAGTGAGTAGACCATGTGACTGAACTGATAGTATTTACGACAACTTGGTATGGCTGTATTTTTTATGTACGTCTATTGTATAAAGAAGGCTTAAAGTCATCAGAGTCCTTGTTTCCTTGTTAAAGACATACCTCAAGGACAGAAGGTTACAGTGACAAAAATGGTTTCATTGTTCAGATTTAAAAGAAGAAAAGGTAACAGCAGTATCCTTCTGGCCAGAGCTCTGGTGGTGGTCTGTTGGTGAGGAAACAAAGGATGAAGGTGTTTGGGAATGATGGAATGGAATGACACCATTCTAAGACCTCAATTTCAAGTATTCTTTCAGCCTCAGATATTGTTTCAAGTTTTCTCACATCCACTATCATTTTATTTCCTTCCTTTTGCAGGGCCAGGTCTGTGGCCTCTGTGGAAACTACGATGGCAACGGCATCAATGACTTTACTACAAGGAGTCAGTCTGTGGTGGAGAATGTCCTGGAGTTTGGGAACAGCTGGAAAGTATCCTCTACATGCCCTGATGCTTATAGCATAAAGGACCCATGTTCTACCAACCCTTACCGCAAGTCCTGGTCAGAGAAGCAGTGCAGCATCATCAACAGCAACGTCTTTGCTGCCTGTCATTCTCAGGTATTACCAGGGCACAAGTTTATGTGCCCAGTTTAGGTCTATGTGTTATTGAAGCTGCCATCCTCATACAATTTAACATGCATGCATAATTCATGAGCGTGTTTCACTTTGAATCGTGTCAGGGAAACTTCAGTCTGAACCCTGCTCAGTGGGACAGATTTATAGTCCCCGACTGTAAGAAATAAAATGACGTTCAGGTCATAGGAAATATCAACCTAATACGAAAGAATAATAATTTCCTAATTACTGTGGATTTTCTTGCAGCGTGACTTGAATAAAAATTCTCATATACCATATCTAGAAGCTCAATAATGTAATAATGTAATTATGAAGTACCAGCATAGTCTTCATCTGACACTAAGTACTGAGCAACTGACACTAAGACTGAGCAACGCAGGGTAACTTCAGGACTCCTGGTATTACCTTAGTTTTTCTGCAGACAACGAACTTCATTTTTTCACATGTAGCTGCTTGGGAACACGAATCTATTCTTTCACTAGGACACAAGTCTGGGTGTCTGGAAATTTGTTCGTGATTTGTATGTATCATCTGGCATCGCCTCTGGTGCTCGGCACTGTATATAAAGAAAAGTAAATTACTGATACAGGCATTTTTTCTGAGATATTACACTTTTAAGAAAATTACCCCAGCAAAGCTAAGAATAGAATTTTGAAGGCAGGATGTTTAATATTACATTTCTTTTTAATAACAGGTTGAACCGGCAAAATATTACCAAGCGTGTGTGACAGACGCTTGTGCGTGTGACTCTGGAGGAGACTGTGATTGTTTCTGTACGGCAGTAGCCGCCTACGCTCAAGCATGTAACGAAGTTGGTGTCTGCGTAGCCTGGAGAACCCCGTCAATCTGTCGTGAGTTTTAGGTCATAAACACTTCCTCTGAGAGTGTAGTTAAACGTCCCGTGCCCTGCTGGTGTCCTCGAACACCTTACGTGTCTTATGTATCCTCATTATAACCTCACTGTGTGACTTCTCGCCCTAAGCTGTTCTGATGGTCACACAATTTCACCTATTCGTTCACGGTTTTCAAGACTCTTCAAGCAGCATTGCAGGGATGTGAGGAACAGACATGAGTCAAAAAAAAGCTCTTTTTTTTTCCTGAACATGTCCAAATTTGTTTCTCCTTAGCACTGTTCTGTGATTACTACAATCAACACGGGGAATGTGAATGGCACTACAAACCTTGTGGAGCCTCCTGTATGAAGACCTGTAGAAACCCAAGTGGAAAATGTCTCAATAACTTGCCGGGTTTAGAAGGTAAAAAGAGCTGCAAGTACTTCTAAGTGGGTACATTTTATTATATTTTTAAAGGTCTTTAGTGGAGTGTATTTCTCTCATGAGCTGCATTTGCACCATTCGATTCTCTTCCATCTCATTGCATCCACATGAATGGAGGTAGAGTGTGGAAGCAGGAGTTAAACACATCTCCAGGACTAAATCCTTGTGGGTGGGCTCTGCTGATGCTAACACTCTGCATTACTTCTGGAATTATTGGAAAAAAAATCCAGTAGTAAAAATTGTGACTATTAAAAACCAACACATTCTGCACGAACAGAACTTTTGCTGACTGTATCTCATTCTCACCTGTTCGGCTTTCTAAATGCCCTTCTGTTCTAAGTGCTCTTTTCCTTCCTTCAGGCTGCTACCCTAACTGCCCGCCAGACAAGCCGTATTTTCATGAGGACCAGATGAAGTGCGTTAGTCTCTGTGACTGTTACGATAATGAAGAAGGGAAGATATACAGAAGGGATGAGTGTCATATATGGTAAGATTTAACATGCCAACCTAATTGTACAGGGAAATTGTGCAAGGGAAAAGGCTCAAAACAGAGTGGGGAAATTGCATGTTCCTGTTACGTGGCAGGACTAGTTAGTGCTGCCTGTGTAAAAACTAGTGCCAGTTTTCTTACTATGTTAGTACTAAGAAGTTCTTACATGGTTTTATGTTCTGTTGAATTTGTTCCTGATTATGCTGTAAATCCTCAGCATAAAGACAGAAGAACAGCGAGTCATTTATGATAAGGCTTTCTCTATTTCCCATTCCTATGGCATGAAAAATACGTTCCAGGAGTATATATGATAGGGGTCTACTTCCAACGATTTTTATTACATATTTAGACTCTCTCTTTTTGTAGTGTGCTTTTTAGTACAAAAACATTGCTAGTGCACATAAAATGATAAGGAGGAGAGAAGGAAATTCTTCCTTAAGACTCCTACCTGCAAAATATCTAGCGTCACTTCTATTTATAAGATTGGTTTAAGATAAAGAAATACTTTGGAAAACAATGCCAAAAAAGAAGCCAACGTGAACTGGAAACTGAAAGTATAAGCATGAACAAAGTGTCTTGACTTTTGATGCTAGTATCTGGCAGAAAGATGACGGATAAAATTACCTTATAATCAAAAAATACATTTTTTATGTTTTTTATTTCAGTGAATGCACATCTGAAGGTTTAGAATGCAAGTTTGATGCAAAAGGTAAGACAGCTAAGAAGAGTTATTAGGAAAGTGAAATACTAGGTATTACCTTTTCATAGATGCCTGACAATAAATTTCTTCTGAACCGCAGCATGCCAGTGCATTTATGAAGAGAACAGCTATAAATACGGTGAACTCATCTACAACACCACAGATGGGACCGGATGGTGTTTCAGCGCAACGTGCGACGTCAATGGCACAATAAGCAGAAGTATCTTTAGATGCGGTGTCGTTACAACAACCCCGTTTACATTTTCTACAAGTCAGCCCGTAACTACTACTTCAGGTACACATGGATGCTCTTTAAAATAACTGAAGAATCTCTGGAAGGTACCAAAAATTGCCTGCAAGGGGGGGTCTTTTGTCAGTTAATGGCACAATTTTATGTGAAACTGTAGACTTTGCTGGAGCCACAATTCATTTGGGAGCTTCAGTTGCTAAAGATGACTGTAACCAAGGATGCAGAAATGAGTACGGCATTTCCTACAAACTCAGTCTCCACCATTTCACCATGCTTTTTTCCAGGGGAAAAAAATAATAGACCTTGTTAATCATTACGGCCTTGAGAATCTCCTCATTTCCTTGCAAACAAAACCCAGCAATTCTAGACCAACTTCTGAAAGCACGACAGACAATTACTGCCATTTTTGAAATCACTGACTACGTTAGCACAAACTGAAGATAAGAAATACAGTTTGAGGGAATGCTCAAATAATTTTAAACTGTTTTGGGGTTCTTTTTGGAACGTTGCTTAATTGTATTTAATAACCAAACCAACAATTTCCTTCTAATTCTGCAGTATACCTCTACATTATTACTGCAGATAAGTCATTATAGTGAACAGGTAATTCTGACAGATTTTGAGAATTATTTCCACAAAATTATGCAATACTACACCAAGAGCTAAATATTCAACTTTAGGTCTTCTATTAAGTAACATTCATATGAAGAAAGTGATAGATATCCCACATGGTTATCTACATAATGCTAAAAATATGAAAAGAAAACTTATTAAACCAAGTAGAGAATACTTAGTAGATTATATATTTAATATATATGGTGTATGTGCATTCTGTATAATATATATAAAATACGCATATATTAATTAAATACTTCATAACTGTATTACATATTATTAAAATAAGTAGAAAAGGCATTAATCTGTAAAAGCACTTTAAAAGCTGTGTGGTTATACAGTTCAGAGTAAATAAGTATGGAGATAATACCAAGGAGAGTAAAACCTCCTCTTACTTATACCGTGGCAATTGTGACATCTCATTATCCTATGTATTGACATTTCACACAAAGGGTATCGTGTAGGCTATGTACAAATAGATTTTTTAAATAAATGTCACATGAAGTACCGGTAGAAAAATAACACAGATATGAGATTAAAACCTACCTTATAAATGAGAGACTGTCAAAGCAAGTTCATTAAAATTAAAAAACTATATTAACATATATAATAGTAAAAACAACATAAAAATGGAATATGAGTAACTTTCTCCTGGTTCTTTATTTAACAAGGTAGAGAAGACTTATTTTTCCTGCTTTTAATTACAGAAATGACAACCCCAGCACCAGTGACGACAGTGTGCGTGAAGCATGTCTGTACGTGGTCTAAGTGGTATGATTCCACACAGCCGGAAAACGGAGAGGACAGCGGGGATTATGAAACATTTGAAAAGCTCAGGGGAGAAGGATACAATGTGTGTAAATTCCCAAATGCTGTTCAGTGCAGAGCCAAAGAATACCCAGATACAGAAATAAACCACCTTAATCAAACTGTAGAATGCAGTCAAAGCAGAGGATTAATATGCAATAACAAAGACCAGCAATCTAAGCAGTGCTATAATTATGAAATTAGAATTTCATGTTGCACTTACATACCGTGTTCAGAAATACAAACGACAACACCAATATCCACAGAAGAAGTCACAACAGCAACTGCTATAACGTCTACAATACAGACAACGATAAAACCAACTACACGGCAACAAGGAACTGAAACGCAACAAACTGAAGTACCTACGGAGCCAACGACAGGCAGAGAGAGTACAACTGTAACTTCACAGACAACAAAGACATCGCAAGTCTCAACAACAACTTACACGACCACGACTCCTCTGGAAGAAACTTCCACTGTGGTGACCACGGCAACAACATCACCCACTACAGTGGTCACTGTCCCTGAAGAAGAGACCACAACTACCACTGGAACCACTGTTGTCACAACGACCACTGCCCGGCCAACAGAAGGAACAACCCTTGTCCCTACCGCCAGCACGGCCAGGACCTCTCCCCTGCTGACAGAAGGTACCACCACCATCACACCCACACCAACAGTGCCCACCACAGGCAGCAGCACTGTCACCACCTCCAGGACCACTACAGGAAGCACCACAACAGCCACGGTCACATCTACTCTGGCAGGAACCTCCACTGTGGTGACAGAGGCTCCAACCACTACAGTGGTCACTGTCCCTGAAGAAGAGCAACCGAGGCAACAACATCACCCATTATTTCCTCCACCATCCAGCATTTTACTATCACAAGCACCATTAGTAGTACAGCAGTTCCCCCAACTTCTGTTTCTCCTACTTCCACCACGATTTCCCTCCCAACGTTCACAAGCACCAGCAGCCCAGGTATGTCACTGTCCACCTCTGGAAAGGTTCTAATTAGCCATTTTGGCAGAACAGCGTTTGTATCATTGTCTTCTTCCACTCCATCAGATTTCTTCCAACACAAACCATTTTTTCATCTCTGCTCTCTTTCCTTCTCTCTGTGTTAGACAAGTGACTGAGTAGGTTTGCTGTGATGTTGGACTGCCCTGTCCAGCAGGTTAAAATTAAGACATCAGTGACCCGCGCTGAAATCTAACATGTGTCTTGTGCTCAACAGTAACTACAACCGGCACAACAAGGACCTCTGCAGTCTTCAGCTCTTCCCCCAGCACACCAGTCCCCACGGAAGCAAGCACATACGTTACATCAAGCAGAACAACTCCCTGTTTTTGTCACGTGTTTGATAATTTATTTTCTCCTGGTAAGTGTCTTACTTTATGCTTATAAGAATTTTCAGAAGTGATGTAAACTGTTAATACTGTATTCGGTTTAAGATAACCACTGAGAATTGTTTAAACAAAACTTTTAGACACAAGTAGACTGCATATTTTCACAATATATTTTCTTGGGCTTTTTTGTTTTCATTGGTCTTTCAATTTCTTCTCCAATTTTCCTCTACAGGGGAAGTGATATACAACAGAACAGACATGGCTGGCTGCAATTTTTACGCCCTTTGCAGCAAGGAATGTGAAATCACCCGATTCCAGGGGCTGTGTCCTTCACCAACCCCTTTCACTTCAGTCGCCTCAGAAACTACAACGCGAGCTGCCTCGTCACCAACCACAGCAACCTCCCTCACAACCTCAGCAGAAAGGAACTGTACCGACGTCAATCCTCCACGAAAGGTGCTGCCCCTTGTTGTTTTCTGATCGGTCGCCGCTGCAAAACCAGCCCAGCTTCTGCCCTCTAACAGCCAATTCGTACCGACCTGCGTGCACTTCAGTAACAAAGCTGGTCGTGTGACAGATGACCTGACAGTTCTTCAGCCTGGCATTACCAGGTTTTTAAGTAAATTGTAGATGGGAAAGCTCACTGATAACACCACAGAGATTGATGTTTAGTACAAAAGCAATTAAAGGTCATGGAAGGAAGTAGACAAGCTCTGGATTCTTTCTACACAGAAGACAATTCTGTGATTGGTCTCAGTTTGTCTGTTCTGAAGGCCTGAAACCACATGCTAAGAAAATTCTAGTCTGAACTCCCTACCAAGTTTGAAACAGAGTAACTCGGGGGAAGAGAGTGCTTAATAATAAATCATTTCTGTGCTCGCAGGCTGGAGAGAGCTGGGTGAGTGAGTGCCAGAAGTGTGTCTGTGACCCCGCCACGGCGACCGTGCAATGCCAGCCGCTCTGCCCGACTCCTCAGACACCCACCTGCGACCTGGGATTTGTTCCCGTTCCTGTGCTACCACTCAAAGACCCGTGTTGTCCTGAATTTAAATGCGGTAAGTATGAAAAATACATAGATAAATACACGCTCTGGTAAATTCCCTTTGCGCTTCTGTTAGTATCTAAGCAAGTTCTTTGTGTATCACAGTAACAGCAAAACCTTCCTTAAATTGTTCTGGTGCAGCGAACACACATCGGTTTTTGGCTAAACATGCATTAGAAGTTTATTTTAAAACATTATTTTCAGTGAAGTTTGCTGAGAGAATTGGAATCCTGCAAGAGCAGGATAATACTTTAAACCTTCAAGTAATGTGTAGCTCAACTACCTCTGTATCTTTAGACATAAAGGTTATTAAGGTATTTAATTTCATGTTATTAATGTAATATCGAAGCACGTCAATACTAGCTGAGCTGAAGGTAAACTACGGTGAATAAACGTAAGAATACGCCAGCAGAAAGCTTCACGAGTAGCTACAAAAGCAAGTAACACAAAGTGAATTGTCATCAGTGACTGTGCTGACAACGTATGAAAAATAGTAATTATACTCACCCTGTTGCTGAACGCTTGTGAAAATTTTAAAGAACATCTTATATGTTTGTTTAGATATGTCAGTTTTTCTATGCATATATTTTTATGCACATATATTTATAGAAAAGATTAATAAGAAGGTAGTTATAAATTAAGCCCCTAACAGGAAGGTCAAAACAAAGGAAAAGCCAAGTCTGAAGTAGTTTTGTGAGACGTAAAGGGCTCTCCCATGTTGTCAGGTTATTTCTATCACCGTGGTAAGAACAGCTTTTTTCAGCTCAATCTTCCATCCAGCTACACTAAAAATGAGATCTAAGCACGGAGGGGAGACTGAGTCCAAGTTTTCCGTAATCCTCGCGTTACTAATGCAACTTGGTAACATCCTGACTTTGCAGGGAGTCTCACAGTGCGAGTTTACACTGGAATTACCGTTTTGTTTTGTTTTTCAGAACCACTGCCTGACACCTGTGTGATTAACGGTACGATGTACAAGGTGAGAGTGTTACACTTACAGTGCTACATCGCTGGAGGTGAAAAGTGAGAAATTCTTAATCCCAGGATGTTTTTTTGGCTCTAGCCCTTAACTGGAACTGTTGTGCTTTTCTGTTGGTTTTTTTCCCCCTGCTTAATGACAAAGCCAAAATAGTCACAGAAGAGTTCCTGAGCATGTAGCATGAAACAAGAACGCACTGTTTGTAGCGATGTACTTTCTTTGGAAGCTCTCTCCCGCTTGTGGAATTAATGAATTTTCCAAACGAGCCGATGAATAGCCCAAACTCAATAGCCCACACCCAACCACCTTTCGAGAGAACCCTCAAAAACGCAGCTAGGGCTTTTGCTTTAGTTTAGGTCATTTTGTCAAAACTTAAACATTAGCACTGGAGCCTTTTAAAATCCTTGTGTAATTTTGTAATCTCTGCTTCTGTATCTACAAACATTTCCAATTATGTTAATCTTTATTTGTAGATTATAGTAATTTTATGACCACTGAACATTACTTACAGGGAAAAAAATAATTGGTACATGGAGCATTGAGAAGCTGGTAAAATAACGAGGCAGCAGAAACTGGTCTTACCTGCATTTTAGTTTTTACCTTTTCTCTTTTGTATTGCTTCATTTAGTTGCCTCCCATTGTGTGCTTTCGTGCTCGGCACAACTTTACGTTCAAAGAGAGTTGTTCAGCTCAGCCCCACTTGCATTTCCGCAGCCTTAACAGCTCTCAGCAACTCTTCCACCTCTGCCGGTACGTTATAGAAACTGCTGCCACCTGAATTCGTTTTTTCTGCCTTCCAGGTTGGAATGTCAACAGTCATTGATACGTGCAAGAACTGTACCTGCAGTGCCGAGAAAGATCCAGTGACCAAAGCAAACATCGTGCGCTGTGAAGCGGTTCGGTGTGAAACCTCTTGCCCGCTGGTGAGTTGAGAGCCCCTGGGCTGCCCGCTCCGACCTCGGGTACAGGAAGACGGGAATTCTCTGTCCCACGCTCAACACGCTTTTCTCGTTCATCTCCTCGCGAGTAGGGTCATCAATACATGATTGAGGACGGAGAGTGCTGTGGGAAGTGCATTGAAGTAGCTTGCAAAATCAAACTGAGTAACGGCACTCTTCAGGTGCTCAGTGTAAGTACTCCCTTCCTTCTCGGATCTCTCCGTTAGCCAGCACAGGTTAGAACAGCTGCGAGCCAGCTCGTGTCCCTTACTTGTAAAAATCCAATTAATACTGAAACTGCTCTGAGACCACCACACCAGGTTCCCTCAATTGAACACTTACCCAGAATAACAAATTCTTGGTGCGCGGGGTTAACTGGGCAGTGGTTTCTAACTTGTAGCCTGAGGGCTCAGATCCAGGGTTTAAGCTTTCAAGCCAGCCCCAATTTGCAAAATTTCACTTTTGCTACTTGCAAGAAGTTCAGAAGCATCTGAGAATCTTTGAGGCGTGAGAACTTAGTTAGCCCAGACATTTTGGAAGTAATTGTACTATATTTGATCACAATGAAACAATAAATAATTTGCTCTTGTTATAAAACCTTAGCTTGATGAGATCCTGCCACTCGATAACTGCAGCCATTACAAATGTGAAAAAATCGAAGATCAATTTGTTGCAGTCCAAACTAAGAGAGTGTGCCCCGAGTACAACCCAGGAGAGTGCGATCCTGTAAGTTCTAACCAATGCTTCCTCTGTCTCATGCAGTTTAAAAGAACAAGGTGGGGGGCAAGCAAGAATACATCAGGTCTCTTTTGCTGAAGTTGCGGGAATGAAATTAATCTTGCTGTAAAATTAGCAGTAAGAAAAGCTCAGTGTTGTACGTGGGGTGGCCAGGATCGGAGCCTGGTGGTGGGGACAAAATAAGGCACCCACAGTTTTGTCCAGCATTCCTCACGGAGCAGCCTTTTGCCCCGGGTCAGTAACACAAACTCACGTTCTTACTCGTGACTGTCGTCCGTGCTTTAACACAAATCCTCCTTCTTCGCTTTTGTGAAGGATGAAGCAGAGACTACTCCCGACGGCTGCTGCAAGATATGTAAACGTAAGTACCGCTGCGTTCGTGTCTTCCGCTCGAGGAGCACCCCATTCAACTTCTGTCTTTGAGTGGATGGAAAGATTCTTCCCTCTCCCGGCTTTCACTTAGTCTGTTTATCAAGACCCTGTATTTCAGGGTTCATTTAAAAGAAAAAGCCAAATCTGTTTTCCTGCTACTGAATACCACAGCTCAGACCACTAGCGCTCAAGCCTCTGCGTTCTTTTCAAAGACGTTGGACAGCTGAGATCAAAGAATAACCCAAAACTCCAGATGCATTACTCAGCAGCCTCTCCTGTCAGATACTGCAGATTCTCAGTCATCAGGCATTGCTCCCTTTGAAATTGTTTTAGCATTCATTTAGTTCAGAACTTGAATGATGTGGTTTTTCCCCCTCTCTTTTTTATGAAGCTCCGAACTGCAAACCCTACAGCAAAAAAACTGTGATCCGCCAAGGTGACTGTGAATCTTCTGAACCCGTCGAGCTGGCCTACTGTGAAGGAACTTGTCCTGGCTCATCCATGTAAGTTCAAAACCCTTAATTTTGCATCTTTTTGACTTCATTTATACCAGTCTCTCAAGTTAATCAGTCACCCAAGGGCACCGAGGGCTGGAGGTCGGCAAACGTGGTGCCCACCCACAAGAAGGGCTGGAGGGAGGATCCGGGGAGCTACAGGCCGGTCAGCCTGACCTCGGGGATGGGGCTGAGGGCCCTCAGCAGCGCCCCATCCCTCCAGCCTTGGTGCATCATCCCACGGCTTGTGGGATCTCGAGGGTCTTTTCCAACCTGGGTGAGTCTGTGACCACAGAGGAGCAACCAAGTGACCGTGTTCGTACCATTCCACTGAGCGGCGTCAGGCTCAGTGGGAGCAGAACACTTCCACTGTTGAAGAGATGGGTAATTAAAATCACATTCATAAGAGAGGATGTAAAAAACCCACCCCCAGGACCACCTGGGGGTTTCTGTGTGTCAGCTATTAACGAGAAGAA